TTTTTAACTATTTTTTCTATTTTTGATGTTTGTGCTCTTTCTAAACTGGATATAATTTTTAAAGATTTGAATGTATAAGGTTGATCAGATAAGCTTAAATTAGAATTTAAATCATAAATAGATTGGTTAATAAATGCAAGGGTGTTTATAACGATTGCTATATTATTATATTTTGATTCAATGTTTAAATTTTTTAACAACTGTATCAGTAAATCATCTACAACTTTAAATAATTTTTGAAATATCACATTCTCTTCAAAATATTTCATTCTATTCAACAAAGTTATTATATCTCTAAATAAAGTAACAAAAATCTTTGTAATATTAATTTCAGTTTCTCTTTGATTATACTTTATATTACAATATGATGATAAAAAATGACTATAATATAAGTCTATTTTAGGAATAAACTTTTTTGATAATTTTTTGTTGTGGATGCAACTACTTTCATGTTCACAACATTTATTGGATTTAAGTAACGATTCAAGTGAAATTTCAAACGCGATTGTATAATTTAGTCCTTTAAATAGTGATTCTTTTGAATTATTACTAAGCATTATCTTTTCTGCTAAATCCTTTTCTAAAAATTCTATCATTCTTCTAATAACCAACAAGTCTATTTTCCATTCTTCTGGTAAATTAAAATATCTTATATTTATTTTCTCAATTTGGAAGTTGCATTCTTTGTAAATATTTCCCAGTTCATCTAATTTTTGTGATTTAAGATTACTAATTTTAGAAATATTTGAAATTGCTCTTGGAATAACATACGATAAAACCATTTCTTTAAAGTTTAAGCTAAAATTTTCACCAAACATATTTGTTAGTTTTACCAAATCATTTGGTATTGATTCATCTATATACAAGTATTCCTTTACTTCATTATTTACAAAGTTTTCCAAATCAACTCTATCATCTTCAATTAAAACATATTTTTTACCCATTATACCATTTTTAACTGTACCATTTAACAAACCCTTTAAAATTTTTCCATATGATTTAGATACACATAACTTTTTAAGACAATTTTTCATACAAAAATATCTTTAGATTTTTTTATTATCATTTTAAAACAATAATAAGCAAATTTATATAACAGGGTTTTTATTATGAATTTATTAAAACAGTTATTGTAAATTGATGCATAGATTTAATCATTTAAATTACAATAAAAATTAATTAAGAAATAAATAATATATTATAGTTTTTATCTTTAAAGAAAGAATCAGAAATTAAAAAAAGAATAAACTTTTAAATTCATAATTAAAAAGATACTTTAATAGAATTCCAATATTTAATTTTATAATTAAAAAATACTTTTTGTTTCTTTGATTTGAATTTTAAGTTACAAAAAGTTTAAAATTTTCTCATTTCAAAATTGATTGTTTTTTTAAACATAATTAAAAGTTTAATTTAACAAACTAACATTTTTTATTTGAAAACTATCAGATAAACTTCAATTAATAAAAATTAAAGTAAAAACACCTAAAATTTAATCAACTCAGTCTCTTTTTATATAAATATTTTATTTTTTAACCCATGGAAAATTCATTTAAATATAACACAAATGAAAGTATTGCACTTGAAGAGAAGTTTGGATATAGAACCTTTTATGATTATTATCCTATAGAAGGATGGCTAATGAACTGTTGTCTCAAGAAAGATAGAGATGATAATTTAGATATACATTTATATTTTGTTGAAGAAAATGGAGAGAAATTTAAATTAAAAATTAAATTTTATCCTTCTTGTACAATAGAAACTTTAGATAATTTTGTAGTTGAAGAGTATCTACTAAGAAAATATCCTCAATGTATTAATAAAATAGAATCTGTGAAGAAATATGATTGTGAAGAGTACAATTATATTAATAACGGACCTAAAGATATGTTAAGGGTGTTTATGAACATCGAATCTGATCTTAAAACATTTATTAGAGATATCAGAGAGATTATATTTGATAATAGGAGTAGAGAATCAGAAGTGTTGGATGATTTCAATGAATATGAAAATTATGATGCAAAATATTTTATTAAAAAGTTGCATGAATATGATGTACCATATGAGACACAGGCAATGATTGATTTG